CTGAGCAGTTTTAATACAGATACTGTGGAAATGGTTATCTTATAGCTCGTCGAAAGGACTAAGTACCAGGTAGAATTACTTCATAGAGGTAAATTTTGACTACCATAACTTAGCTGCGAGCAATAACATCATGCCATGTGATACTGAATCTATATTTATTCTGGTGGGATGAACTACAAAAAATGTGTTTCGATTAATTTAATAACGTAAAACCACCGGAAAGGGCAACAAATAATAAAAAATAAATACTTGGAATCATGTTAACTTTGGTAATTGCGTTGGTATATGCCTTTCTGTTTTGAACAAGATTTCGTATAGTTCAGCACTGATATATAGTTTTATTTTTATCCCTTAAGAAGAACGAGTATTCAACTAGTTATTTAAATAAAATATAAAATATTAAAATGAAATGCGATGCTTCATAATGCAGTGTCTTGGTTATTGCCCTTTTTGCTAATGCTTTAATAATTAAATCTCAATAAGTTTTTTTTCTTTAGAAAAAAAAAAATCAGACTCCATTGTGTTGGTAAAGGAATTTCAGTTTTGTGTGAGATTTCGTATTGTTGTCCAGCTCTGATATATACTTTTTTATTTACCCCGTGCGAAGAACGAGAATTCGATTAGTTATTTAAATGTAAAAAATATATGTATATATATATTAAAATGAAATCCGATGTGTTTTTAATGTCTCTCGGTTATTTCTTTTTTGTTAAGGTTTTAATAGTTAAATCGGAATAAATCAATAAAAAAAAAGAGAAGAAAAAAATAAATTTTCCGACTCAATTGTTTTAAAAATATTTTCAACAAAGGATTCTCAAATCTCGAAGTTTTTTGGAATATATTTTGTTATTTAAAAGGTATTTTTGGAAACTGTTTTTAAACAATACTAGAAAATTAAAAAAAGTTATTCTAGAATTAAATATATTTTGCACTTGTATTTAATGACTCTTGCTTTTCGATCTTCTTCGAAGCGCTGAACAAAGCGTGACGCATTTTTTTGTTAAACTAAATGAAAAAGAGATTCGACTTGCTCTGGTTACATTCCGGACTCAACCAAAGATGTTATGTGCGTCAAGGTGATGTACCGTTACTAATAAATAGGAGAGCGCATCCTTCGCAAATCTTCTTATTTTGTATTGACGTCCAAACAATATGAATGACAACAAAATTTCCTGTTTCGTCATGGCTCTTAAACTAGTTTTGCAAAATGATGATGTTTGAAAGAGTTTGTTTTAAATTATTAACTAAGATTTAAATGGCATTAAATGTCTCTTTTTTTTTGCATGTGTTTTTAATTAAAAATAATCTTCTTCTTTTTTTTAAATTTCTTTTATAAAATTGAAAAGGGAGCAAAATCTTAAAACGAAACACTTTTATGACTTATGAACTAATCATCTATTTTTCTGTACTAATAAAGATGCTAACTTAATGGTTAGTGGGTATATACTTTAAAAATGCTAATTAATTTCTGCAATTGATATTTTAAATTATGAAACCAGACACAAAAACGTATTTCCACCCTACGTACGATTTTTTGGACGAATTCTTAACTATAAAATATTAGCCAGCTATCTGTCCAGACATTTTGTGAAAGGTCCGTTTTTGTAAAATTGTGAAAAAATTACTCGTAATTTGTGAATATAAAATAAACGTTAAGTCACATTCTTTCAACCAGGGTCCGCTTTTGAGAATTGGTGCAAATAGGGTCTGTTATTGCAAAAAAAACTTTTTCAAGGAATTTTTAAATTGTAAAGATCTACAAGATTATGCTTAAAACTGTAAAATTATAATTAAAAAAATTAAATTTTAAAAACTAAACAGCAATTGCAGCTACTAAATTAGCGATGCAACGTATAAATATTTGGTATTTAGCCTATACAGAAAGCAGAATAATCATTTCGGATGAAATAAGGAAGAATCGTCTGCCGAAGACAAAATTTAGTTCCTTTACATCTGTCTTCCTCCCACCCATTCCTGGAAAGGGTTTATTCGATTAACGAAACAATAATGAAGATAAAAAAAATTGTGAAGGGTCCGTTTTTATGAAAAGATATTTGTTAACGAACCCAAATTTCTTCTAAACAGACCCCTGTTAGCGTAGCCATTACCTGGACATGTCATTTTGCTTAACATGTCATTTTGCTTATAAACGATCAGCTGACGTCATATAGGTAACATGTGTGGGTATTCGTGATCATCTTCTTGAAGTGCAAGTACCCAATTGGCATATTTAGGATTTAATCCTCAACCATTAAGATTGCGTATTCGTGATCATCTTCTTGAAGTGCAAGTATCCAATTGGCATATTTAGGATTTAATCCTCAACCATTAAGATTGCGTTTTAATTTGTGTAAATATAATATAATCGCAAGATCAAAAGCTGTAACGGTATTAGTTCTGTTTTTTTTTTTATTTTGCGCTTAATACCTGACATTCTTTAATAGCATTCAGGAATAAGCCATATTATATGCAATTTGTTAAAACATAGAACTCGATATTTATAATTTCTAGATGAAATTTAGTGTTTTGAAAATTATTAATTAAAAATAACATTTCTTTAAATTCGTTGTTTTTAGGGAGAGAGAACTGTATTTTTAAAGTTATCGCTAACTAAAGTAAGGTATAGAGAGATTTTTACGGTTGTAAATTAATCTATAGGAATAGATTATAAGTTTAGAATTGGAAAGCCCATTATAGAGAAAATATTAAGATTTTTTCTACGTTTAACATTAAAATAGTAATATTTAGATTTGGGATGAATAAATTTGATTAAATTAGAGAAGGGAAGAAATTTTAAAATGCAATGTAGTTAGAATGGAGAGTGGACTGTAACAATGGATTTTTTTAAAATGTATTAAGGGCCATAAACAAAGAGTTAATATTTTTCCCACATTCCAAATGGGATATCATGTAATAAATGGCAAGTAGCAGAAAATATTTTGATTAAAACTGTTATTTCTCGAAATTAATGATATATGTTAAAGATATAGCTCATATTTAATTCATTTATTACGCATCTTATTTTCTAATTTAAAAAAAAAAATAGAAACTGATATCTTTAACCGTTTTGAAGGAAGTTTTCGTTTGTTTCATGCTTTTTACAGCTGCAGATATAGGATCCAACGATTTTTCTTTTCTTTTTTTGTTAAATGAATTAATTTACATTAAAAAAGTTGAGACAAATTCAAATAGCTTTTTTTTTTCCCCAAAAAAATTTTTTTATAGTTTTTTTCTATTCATTGGTAATTAAATGGGCATCGTTTTAGTGTTATCAAATTGTAATTTTAAAAAAATGTATATTTATTGACCTATAATTAAGATTTGATGTTTGTATGACAAAAATTTCATCCTTGAAATTATAATTCAAATGCTTTGGATATGATATCACTGTTAAAACAGTAACAGTGGTATAAATAACACCTCCGCGGTGTTTGGGGGGGGGGAGGTTTGAAGTCGCAACTCATCAGAAAAAGTATTATGAGTTCAAATAAAAATATTTTGTATTTATAAAATATGTTTAGTTCACTTTATAAATAATAACCCTTAGCTAAACTTTGAATATTATTTAAAAAAAATTCATTTTAATATGTTAAGTGATTGCAGTGTTTCAATTAAGTACCTTAACTCAATTTTAATTGCAATTGCTATTTTCATTTTTTTAAATTAAAATAAAATTAATGATTATAAATATTTGAACATCTCTTCACCGCAGTGTTTTTGTTTCGTATTATAATTTTAAAATTATTTTATGCAAATCTAAGACTTGGCGCATTTATAAATTTTGCAGGGGCGCATCTAAGTCTATGTACGCTACTGAACCGTCAAATCCTCTAATATATATCGGCTCTGCTTTAAAGAAGTAGTAGAGTTGTAGTTTTGTTTTCTGTCCTCCAGTTTTAAATACGTTGTTGCATATTTCACAACTATCCGGTTGAGGGCCTGGTTGGTAGGGCGTTGGACTCTTGTTCGTGAGAACGAGAGTTCGAATCCATCCGGCTGAAGAATCTCCGTGTACTAAATGGTGACTGCTGCACATTAAATCTGTCTGGATCACGAAGTCCTCCAAGTTCCCATAACAAATCAATACCTCTGGGGGTACTGATCCAAGAGTTCCCTCATCTTCGGGATTGAGTTCAAAATTTCAAGGCTACGGAATTGAACATTGGTAGTTGTGAACTCAAATTTGGGTCTGTTGTGCAACGACGGTTTTAAAATAAAATTTAAAAAAAAAAACTATTAGGTTGACAACTAAGTTTCCTTCTATTTTTTTTTTTCTAATGTTAGCCGTTTAACCATTCCATTATCCCTCTCCGTCCCCTTGTCGTTTGATGCGAATTTTCTTGCTTAGGTTTAATCGCTCTTCATCGAACTCAATTGGATGAAAAGATCAAGGTGCGTCAAGGCCAAAATTTCCATTTTTAAACTTTGTAAAACAATCTCCAGCATTTACTTACATTTAAAGGTTAGAAATATATACAAATAATGAAATGTTTAATGGATAAGCAGCCCCCCCCAAAAAAAAGATTTCATTTGACCATCTAAATTAAATCATATATTTTTTCGATAGTGAAATATCTACTAATGTTTTTAATTTTTGTTAAATATTTATTTTTAATCTAATATTTTTCTTTCATTGCTTTTAGTAAGTTTTCATATTAAATTTTTTTCTCGAATCTGGTTCAGTACAGAACCCGTTATCCAGAAATCAGTAAACCGGAAAACCAAAAAACCGGTACGAAATTCCATAAATTTTCCCGCCATTTTTTTTTAAAAAAAAAATTTTTTTTCCTCATAAGATTTTAGGATTTTTCTTTCTTTTTTGAAAGATGTTTACCTTACCATCATTTTGGAAATAATCATTAGTGTATTACTTTGTTTTTTTCAAGATTATTTCCAAATTTGTCTTTTTTTAGTTGGGTTTAACAATAAAAAAAACGGCTTTTTGTAGCGATTCAGAAAACCGGAAAAATCAGTTATCCGGAATAGCGATGGTCCCGATCGTTCCGGATAATCGGTTCCCTACTGTATATTGTTTGATGAAAATTGTATTTGTTTATTGTGTCTTTCAGGTTCCTCATTCAGAACTGTTGGATGAGATAAGTGCCTGTGGGAATGATTGCAGCTGCGAAGGGAACAAACATTCAAATAGTCTATCCATGCCAATATGCTTTCTAGTTAGAGAACAAGCCAAGTCTCAAGTTGCCATTCAGGTCATTATAATATCTCTTTGTTGTTTCACAATTTTAAATTTTACTCAATTTTTTCACTTCATCCAAAATGGTAAATCCTGCTTTTCCTTACTGTGAGGTGTCCCATTAATATTCGACGATTTGAAAACTTAAAGAAAAATGAGAGTTCAACTGCTTAGGCAACCGAAATCATTGTTTTATAGTTGTTTTTGATTGACAGAACCATCTGTTGACGAATTTTGTAATTTGGTGAAAATTATGTCTCTCTTGAATACTCTAATTTTTTGTTTTTTACCTTCCTCCCTATTTCTCTGCCATTTATATCTTAGCATCAGGGTTGTCACAGGCGACTTTTTTTTGCCTAAAAAGGCTAAAAAAGCAACTATTTTCTGGAACTGGAGACTATTGGGAGACGTTTCTAAACTCCTAGCGATGTTTTTTTTTTTATTATTATTATTTTTTTTTAAGCATAAATTGGGTGGAAAATCTGCACCCCACAAGATAGTCTCTGAAACCATTTAACTTTTTTTTCTCCTTAAAAAATAAAAAAAATTTTAATTGCAAATCTGAGTCTTCACTTTTTAATTCGTTCAATCTGCACAGACACCGTTGTAAGTCTATTTCATTTCTTGATCGCCTTTTCATCGATAATTGTTACGAAATTCTGCATGATTTAAGAAAATAATAATAATTTTTTTTACGATGCGTGAATTTCGAATTTGAGTAATTACTTTTAATATATGTATATATCTATAAACATTTACGTTTGTATAAAAATTATATTTGCCACCAACTTGACTGAATGAATCATGGTATATGACAATTAAGTCATTAAGAAAATTTTAGTCATATTTTTGATGAATTTTTGTCTCTTATTTAGGCAACTATTTTCCTAGTTTTTGCCTACTATTTTCATGTTTTAGGCTACTAAAAACAACGATTTTTTTCTGTGGCAACCCTGTAACCTGTCAACTTATAGAATTCAAAATTTTTTATTTAGTGATACTCCTTTACTTATTATAATAAAACTATACAAAATTTCAGGTAATTTGTATTTTTCCCATTTTCTGAACTGTTAAGTAATGTTTACATAAAACTAAACTGTAACATTTAGTTATCGATGAGGGTGCGAAGCGTTTTTAAGAAGTGTTTTTTTTTCATTTAAATTTATTACAAATTATTTCATTTAAATTTATTTAACTCCTCATGCTCCACAATGCATAACATGAGGCTTCCAGATATAAGTGGGCAAAGCACAGTTGCTGATTAAAAAGAAACAACACAAAATTATAAAGTTTTAAGTTGCAAACAAAATTGCTTAAAATATTTAATTTTTCAGTGCATTTAACAAACAGGTGACCAAGAATTACCCCGGTGTCTTAGTTCCTTTTTTAAGCTTTCTCTTTGACTTGAATATAAATTACTGTAAAATATAATGTGTTCTACAGTGTCGACGTCCTGACCACAAGAACAAAAATTACAGTTCACTGAATTAAACAAGTAGGTTTTAAAATATCCATGTCCTGTTAGAATAGGAGTTAATTTAAAGTCAATAAAAAAATTTCCTACTTTTCGACTGAAAAATTTTTGGGGAAAATATTTTTAGTCCACGCAGCCTTTGGTACAGCTTAGAATTCAGTGTTCTAGTCCAAAACAGTTTTTCAGTGTGGCAACGGGGCAGACATTGAAAGATCAATATCAAGGCAAGTCGTGTCTTTGGCCAATTATTACACTCTATCATTACCGCTGTGACCCCGAACATAAGAAAAACGGACTTCAGCAATATCCACGAGGGCATACACAATCGATTGAATTTTGCACTGCAAGCTTTTCTGCAGAAACTGTATTACACAAAAGATGAAAGTGAATCTGTGCTGATAAAATACCCGAGATTCTCATTTTGAAGAGTCTTTAATCTATTTCACAGCAAGATAAGATATATGCACAGCAGCTCAGCTTGAAAATGAGATGAGATGAGAATTTCTTAATCGATGATGGAAGGTAACTTTTTTAACTTCATAAATGACGTAAGCAAGTCCAACTTTTCCGTCTATGAAACAAATGGATTCAAGAAAGATGGATCAAGAATGGATTCAATAAGTGGATCAAGAATGGATTCAACAAATGGATCAAGAATGGATTCAACAAATGGATCAAGAATAGATTCAACAAATGGATCAAGAATGGATTCAATAAATGGATCAAGAATGGATTCAATAAATGGATCAAGAATGGATTCAACAAATCGATCAAGACTAGATTCAACAAATGGATTCAAGACTGGATTCAACAAACGGAGTCAAGAATAGATTCAACAAACGGATTCAAGAATAGATTCAACAAATGGATTCAAGAATAGATTCAACAAATGGATTCAAGAATAGATTCAACAAATGGATTCAAGAATAGATTCAACAAATGNTGGATTCAACAAATCGATCAAGAATGGATTCAACAAATCGATCAAGAATGGATTCAACAAATGGATCAAGAATGGATTCAACAAATGGATTCAACAAATGGATTCAAGAATAGATTCAACAAATGGATTCAAGAATAGATTCAACAAAAGGATTCAAGAATAGATTCAACAAATGGATTCAAGAAATATTTAAGAAAGACTTCGCTTGTATGAGTAATAAGGGTGAGACAAGCATGTTACCAGAAGCTTGCCATCATGCGTGCAAAGGCAAGTAGTCGAGTAATTATCCCTAACATCAAGGTTGTTCAAAATAACTAAGTCAATAAATAGGTGGGAGACCAAAAATAGCAAACACTGCTTCATAACTAATAGTCTGTACTGCTTAATGGCTCGAAACAGAAATCTCCATTGTGTTCTAAGAAGTCAACAATTTATTTTCTTTCTTAAAGAATGACCCCAAGAGCACAACACATAAGATATGAAATGAAAGATTCCATGTTCATATATCAACCGAAGAACGTCAGATTTCTCCCCTAGTCTAATATTTGAAATTCTTTGCAGTCCAAGAAGAATTCTTTAACTTTTACTGGAAACATAAGAAATATGCTCCTTCCACTGCAGTTTGTGATCAACAATTATGCTCTGATACTTAATATGCAGCACTTCTTCAATAGGCGCAATTCCGATATTTAATTCTTTGATCAATCGTTGATGTAAAAAGTGCTTAATTTTCTCTTTTTCCAAATGAGATTATTTCTTTGCTACGTTGCCATAAATTTAGCAAAAACATGGTCTTCATAATGTTCTGTTCAAGGTTTTCGTAATTCAACTACTATTCGTATCGTTCGACAGCGCCATTCATTTTACGTGTTTTAATTACTCGAGGATTCGCATACACGTACACTGGGCTGTATTCGGTGGGAAGGATTTTTGTACTCTTTCAACTTCTGCTTTTTGCGAGAGATCCTCTATATCATCTCCAACCCTCTGAAATCGAACCAAAAATCTAATTTTTATATTTCTCAATTAACTGGCCATCGGTTTCGTCACAAACTAGAAAAGGTCTATCTGTTTTATTTATAGATCAATACCACAATCCTTGAACTTGACTGGTTTCTAATTTTTCTAGAGAAAGTTTCTTTTAGCGGTACATTGGGTTTTTTTCCCCACCAATAATATTACTAGGTTTTTTTTTAATATCTGGACTCACTTATTGCCTGAGACATTGATGTCCCATTAGTGTTTTTGAGTGACTAAATGACCCATGAAAAAGAAAAAAAGATTATTAGGACATGCACATCTTAAAGACTATTGGGACATATACATCCTAAGCCGTAGTAAAGATAAGGTTGTCTTTATTATTTTCATTTGATAGTGTGTGTATATACTTACAAATGAATGTTTTTGTATCATTATCATTGAGTCGGATAGTTTACTTTGATCTTACGAATATTTTTTTTTCAAATAATTAACTTGTTTTTTCAAAACTAATTAACTTACAGCCATTTTTTTTAATTCTTTAAACAGTATCTTCATTTAGCCATCATTTAATTCGACTAAGTTTGATTTCTTTTAACTGCTCTTAACGAAGTATTTCTATGGCATATTCTAAAGTTTGGGTTGGCTTTTTATAAATTCATTTTGTATATTTTAGCAAGGATTATATTAACAGAATAGTGATTTTGTCTCCAGCTACTATTATGCCTAACGATGTGTAACATTTCATTTTTAGTTAAAAGTTTGAATCAGTTTAGGAATTATTAACGCTGTTCTTTTTTTTTAAGACGTTTCTTTTTTTCTTTTTTTTTTCCCGCGAATACGCACTTAAATGTCTAAGGACAAAAATGATCTTGGACTCTTTCTAAATATCAAGTATTGGAGTTATTAAACAAAAGTTACCAATGCAAAAGTTAGATACATAATTATTAACATTGTGGAAACGATGTTAATATTTGTGTAAATTAATATAAATAGATATTTGAAATTCCTTCCTTATACCTCAACCTTTCGATTACGTGACCTATTGTTAATCATAAATCTGCTTTAAAAGAATGTTTTTTTTTACCATTGTATTTTCTTCATTTCTTTCGGTTTATTACTTTTTTTTTAAATCTTGACCATTATTTCGCGTAATCCCTTTATTACTTACCCAGTTGATCGTTTTATAAGGACTATTGTAAGTATTACTGTATAAGTTACGCATAAGTTTACCTTTCGTTTGAAAATTCGAACTAGAATCGCAGACAAACTTTATTTTATCAAGTTTATGCTGCAAATTGACACAGTTGAACGTTTTTCATTCTGAAAAGATTTTTTTTATCATCACTTGAAAAAACAAAGTTAAACTTTTGCCTGTTTATTATTTTGGGGGGTCTTTATGTGGCCGAAGAAAATAAGTAAATTTATTAATTTTTTTTATTTGATTTTGAAACTTTAAAGCATCGAATTCGTAAAATTTATAAGAATTTTTTGATGTAGTATACATACTGCTTTTTGTTTGTATGCTTTATTTTTGAATTTTCTCTAATACAAACCACCTCTTGTTTTGTTACAGGACTTGCAATCTCGCCTTAGTCATGTTGAGACAGTTCAAGTTGATGTCATTGATACTCTGATGCATTTCCGAAATTATTTAAATGAAGTAAATTCCGATTTTTCTGCCACTCCATCTTGCATCAACATTACAAACAGTCCTTCTACTTACTCTACTTCAAAAACTACAACAGCCTTCCATTCAGCTTACGAACCACCTCATCCAGTTCAGAAGTCTTGTTCTTACGGCACGAAAGCTAGAGAAAACGCTTCCGATGAGTTCCAAAGGACATCATCTATGGTAACGATTCAGGATCAACCTCAAAAACTCTTCGATTCAACCAAAAGTAAAGACTCTGCTTTAGAAAGTGATAAACAAGACAGCGGATTAGATTCGGACTGCAGGGAACACCATGACTGCCAATCTTCTATTAGGACGGCGCCTCACTGGATAAACCAGGAAGCAAATGATCAATTGCTGCAGCTTTTGGATGAGATTAGCTTCCGTTCTGAATATCTCCAGAAACAACTTGCAGTGACTGAAAACACGACTGTCATCCAGAACGGAATGCTACCTGCTCAGCCAAATGTGAAAATCGAAACTTGTTCTCCAACTAGAAGCAGTAATGGCTGCTTAGAGACTACTTGCAACCTTTCTCAAGAACCTAAAGATAAAAAAATATTTGAACTTAGTACTATAAATGAAAGTCGCGATATAGGCATTCAAGTTACAGTACCATCTTCGACTAAGATCAACAGCAGTGGGCTTGCCGGTTTCCTCGAGGGAAAATCTATTTGTGATAGAAGTTCTGGCAAAAGAGTCGGAAAGAGTATTGACAGTTCGATGGTGTCGTCAATATTGAAAGAAACCAACGTTGTAGAGCTACAACGGCAGGCTTTAGTTTATCTTGTCGACAATGCTGTTCTTAATGCCAGGTTGCGGGAAATGGAACAGGCGATAGCCTGCAAAAACCTTGAGAGCGAAAAGGTTGAAAATAGTCTGAAAGAGGAAGGAAGGTTGCTAATGATGGAGAACAGAGAACTTCGTATATGTCTGGATGAGCAGAAGATGGAAGCGAACGTTTTCAAATCACGAGTGGCCATGCTTGAAAGAGTTCTCCAGTCAATGAATGTAGAAAACCAAGAGCTTAATTGGCAGTTAGGAGAATCTTTTAATATTCAGCAATTAGCTAAAAAAGGTTACAATCTGTCGAGTGCTACAACACCTAGTAGTGTAGCTAGCTCTACTAGATCATTTCGAAAGACATCCAGCTTGCCGTCACAAGCTTGTCGGAACTCAACTTTGAACTATGCGAAATCGAAGCTTCTGTCAAGTAATAGTACCTTCCTCGACTCCACTGCCGAGGAATCTGAAGATAATGCTTCAAATCAAATTCAAAAACAGTATCGTAATAGTCCCCTTCTCTCCTCTACGCCTTTTCAGAGACCCAAAGGAACTGTGATAGATTCAACTTTGTCTCCCGCTTTGCCTCTTAGTTTCTATTCTGCCAAAAAGTGCCTGAAATCTGGTCATAGCTTCGATAGTGAAGGTTGTTCTTTCAAGACTACCAGGTCAGAAAGGTATGGTGACTGCGACATTCCAGAAGCTTGCGTTCGAAAACGTCCATCCCCTCATAGTCCATCTCAAAAACCTTTGACTTTAGCGACTGGGAATGTTAGTAAGTTTCCTTTTAATACTATCTTGGAAAAACTGAAAGCTAATTCTGAAGTGAGACTGTCCAGACATATTCCTAATGCCAAAGATGGCGATGCTTCTGTCAGTGCCTCAGACCATGAAGTCGAATCCAACTGCCGCGACTCCCCTCCAACTGAAGGACAATATAGTAAACATTCTAAGTCATCTCAGGGAAGTGTGAAGAGTGGTGTTCAGACGAAGAAAAGCGGCAACATCCACCAAAGGATTCAGAACATTTTAGATCGAATTGTAGCTGAATCTGAAGAAGCATCATAATATTTATAAGCAATTTTTAAGTGATACATAACTTAGTGAGAATTAATATTCCTCTGCTTGTTTTAAGTGTCCTTAGATACAATTATTTATGTATTTGTAAATTTTCTCTTTTTAATTTCAGTGCTTTTTATGTACAGATTTTTAACAATTTTATTTGTAAATAAAGATAATATTTCATGCATAACTGCTTTCTTTTTCCCTGCTGAAAAGTGTGAATTTTTACACAAAGAAAGGAAAAGAACACACCATTAACAATTTTAATATGTTATTTTTCGAATCTAATCCTGCGGTTGAGGCCAAGACTTAATTTCTAGCGAAAAAAAAAGTCGAAACCTCAACACATACCAATCAATTTTGAAAATACTGCTAAGTGAAAATTATGCATGTATTTTTTAACGTAACATATATTCAGAGATGATTGTGCTCCGAAAAAAAATCTGGATTTCCGGATTTGAAAGTTTCGGGAAATCCAAGGACCAGAAGTTTTAAGAAATCATCAATCACACTTATGTATAAAAAAATCTTGTATATTTTATTTAAAAATATTAGAACTAAACTTCAACTACTTCTCTTCCAAACTACTTTTCTGGTAGACTAATAAATGTGATTAGAGATAAAAGTAAACTTATACATAATTATTAATTTAAATTATGCTGCGTATAATTTATTTCGAATTTCATGTTGTGAAAATATCAATAACGATTTAAAATTATAAAGACAATTTTTTTAAATGAGTCATTAATGAATTTACTCAAGAAATTTCAGACAATGCTCACAATCACCCCTGATATATTCTTAAATTCAGGCGTAATCAACACGTTAAACATTTTTTCTTAACTTATGAAATCCTATTTATGTTTAATAATAATCCTGATGACCAAAATAAGCAAAAGTTTACTAGTATGTTAATTTTCTTCGAAACATATATCATATTCTTCAGAAAATACATCAGCCCCTGCATTCCATCTAACATAAAATTCACTGAAAAAAAAAAGGGTAAGGGAACTGAGGTCCGTGCATGGCTAACCTGATAATTTTACCACAACTATGACAGCCAATTTTATTTAAAAAATCATTTCTAAATTGAGTATTTAATAATCCAAATCTGAATACTAGGACAAAATGAAAAGCACGGTGGGCAAAAAAGTTAACCCACATTTTTGTAGGTCAGAGATTAAACGATATATTTTCACTAGCCGCCTGCGAGAACTCGTCTCTTCCCGGTTCCACATTGTCCTGCAGGAACTCGCCATTTTTGCGGCTCCACGTTTGTTCCACAGCTGCCTTCGGTAGCATTCTGAATCCTCTGTATTAGTAATATAAATGCAAATCGGTCAACTTGAAATGGTCCGTCCACACGATCTCAGTTTTGTGGTTCCATACAGTTGCCCACATGTACAAACTCACCTTTTTGCGGGTTAATGGCACAAAAGCTGCAATTGATGATAACTAGTTAGTCACAACAGCCAGATTTTCTGAATCCGAACTAGTAGAATTACAAATAATTTAATTAAAAATGTGATCTAGTGTAGATGTAAAACATAAAAGATAATTAAGAAAAAATCAACCTATCGAACAAAAGCTAATCTCGTTCTGTTCTTTTTCAGACACCCCGCGACGATTTTCATATTGGCTATCTAGTTTTCTTCATTTATCGTGCTTTTACCAGTTTCACTAAGTTCCAAATGTTTTCACTAAGTACCAAATGTTTTCACTAAGTCGACGTGCCGCCGCCAAGAGAAAAAATTTCGCCTATTACGCTGCAAAATTTTCTTTGAGAATATGAATCAGGCACTTTTTACATCGACCTTGTCGAATGATGACTGTCATATCATGTTCCTCTGGTTAGTAGAAATTTTAAAGTTCAAGGAAATAAAAAAAAAGTTTAAGTAGCTTAAATCCTATACCCTCAGACATAAAAAAAAATGAAATCAAACCTACCACACAAAAATATTGTTCTAAAATTTTTATGAGCTTGAAAATAAGCAAATAACTCTGACAATACACACTAAATCTGTCTCGAAGTTACGTTCGTGATACTGCATCTACTTTATGCAACTCGCCAGGGCAATGCGGTGTGATTTCAACGCTCTAGTGCCAGCTCCCACCTATTAAATTACGGACAGGACTCCTTACTTCTGCCACCGGTACATTTTCTTTTGTTTGCGTAGCACTAGAGCTGCACAATGGGCTATTGGCGACGCTTAGGGAATGATCCGGAGACTACATGCATACGTCACAACCCGTTTTATAGGAAAGACACATTCACGCACCATCCATCCACAGATCGTAATTCTGACCTGAGCACGATCAATATCAGATTCAGTACCCCAAAGGTATTGATATGTTTTGGGAGCTTGGAGGACTTTGTGACCCCGACAGATTTAGCTTGCAACAGTCACCATTTTGTATACGAGGAGTCACTGGCCGGTGGGGATCGAATTCATGCCCACTTGGACATAAGTCCAACTACCTTCCACCGGGGATCAATATAACTGCCTGTCAATTTTTTTTCTTTTTGCCTAAATAACTCTGTAAATGATTTTTATCTAAGAATTGTCCAGTTACCTTGCGTCCCGTTTCACTTTTTGCTGAATGAAGTAATAGCCTTAAAAATAACCACCTGAATCTCTTTACGAAGCGGGGGTGCCATCCCCTCCGCAGAGGATCAAAATTTTGATGGCATGTCTTCGGATCATCCTCCGGGATGTTTCCCAGACCGTCGCCAATAGCCCATTGTGCAGCTTTAGTGCGACGTAAATTAACAACAACTGAATCTCTTTGGGTAGGACAACAAACTGCACAATCAGACGCATCAGTATGAACATAGAAAAGCTATCCCAATTTGGGAGTGCAGAGCGGCGCAAAAAAAAAAACTACCAGCATGAATAACTTTAGATTTTAATGATCAGATCCTCACGTTCTATTACTCAATCTTATTGTTTCAAGAGGATGGCGTAAAAATGTATACTAAAATCAAAAGTGCTGAAGTTATTTTAAGTTACAAAATCTGATGCAAAGACATATTTTCTCTGAATAAACATGCCTTTTTTTTTCTCGACGGTCCCAATAATTTGATCAGGAGAGCGGTTCAAAGTTTGGGCCCCTTTAACTTAATTTTTCTCTTTTGCGTATTTCGCCATATTTCGAAAACTTTTCATTGTTGTTGTTGTAGTTCCTTTACGTTGCACTAGAGCTGCACAATGGGCTATTGGCGACGGTCTGGGAAACATCACTGAGGATTATCCAAAGACATGCCATCACAATTTAGATCCTCTGCTGAGGGGATGACACCCCCGCTTCGGCAGTCCAACGACCTGCACGCGAAGTCGAGCACTTTACGGTAGAACAGTTTAACGAAGACCAATACCGCACACCCTCGGCCCCTACGCAGGCTGATCCAAGTGGTCACCCACCCGCACACTGACCGCAGCCACTGATGCTTGACTTCGGTGATCTGCTGGGAACCGCGTCTTAACGATCAGTCCACTACGGGACTAATTTAGAATAGTTATTTGTTTATGAATTTTATTGTAACCGTAATATATTTTTGTTTTGCGTGCCTGACAACTTCGATGTATAATTAGTTTGTTTATGTTCTACGTGGCTTATGTGCAACTTAAGAGAATTGATACTTGACGAGCTTGGCTTATTCCAAATAGAATGGAGATAACAATTGCTAACAGAAACAAATGCTCAGTTACTACAACCAATCAAGATCGATATGCACCCACTAGTTAGTTGCAGGTATCCAATTATAAAATTTACTTTTCCATAGATAAATCCATGTAATAAGTAATTATTTATAACTATATATTATTTTTTGTTATTTATTTTATGAATGAGCTAAAAATATTAAATTGTAAGATATAAAAATATTTTATCTAGTATAATCTGCGTTTTTTTTTTTTTTTTTTTTTTTTTTTTTTTTTTTTTTTTTTTTTTTTTTTTTTTTTTNGTTTTTTTTTTTTTTTTTCCTTTTTTATGTAGAAATCCAAATTTTCTGGTATTTTGTACAATTATTTAATGAAAAAATAGATTTTTAAAAGTATTTTCTTACGGATATTTGGAGACGAATTGAGTTTTGTTGTGTGGTAGTTCCTGATTTTAATTTAAAAATCGTTTTCTTTTTCTCTCATTCTTTTCGTAGGAAAAATATTTTAAGATGAAAGTTAAATTTTAAGAAAATTATTGTTCTTATCACAATGAACCATATTTTTTCTTGTTGTATATTAACTTTTCATATTAAGGGTCCAAAGTTATAATTATTTATAAATTATTTTTTAAATTTTCGTGAAAATAAAATATTTATTGTGTTAGAAATAATACAAATGCTGTTTTGCCAATTTAAGAACCGCATTTTTTTTTTTACAATCTATTTAATTTCTAATAAAATTTAACAATTTCTAATAATTATACTTTAATTTTAGAAAAATGATTACTTTTTCTAATCATTACTTTTTTTATTTTTCTAAAGGTTTATTTTTCTAAAATGAATGCAATTTTTCGATGCGATCTTACGTATAAGAACAGATATTTTATTAAGTTTGAAAAATGCTACTATACTGTTGCCAAAAAACAAAAATGATTTTTTATTCTATGCAAGTGACAATTTAAAACTTATCTTCTGAATTTGAAATTATAAAAGAAATAATAAATAAATAAATTATTAAATAAAATTAAAGAAAAGTTTTGAGTTATTGCGTTATTTCTTAGAAAAAAATTTAGCTGTCAATTGTTATGTGACAAATTAAAGAATTTTAAACTTTGTTTACTGCTGATTTACAGATAAGCAAGTTCACTCATATACTGCTATATTAAATTTCCCAGTTTCTTTTATCTTTTTTTTTTATTACTTTTTTCATCATACTTAGCGTAAACAGGGTGCGTAGCGTTTTTAAAAAGTGCTTAAAGGTGCTTATTTTCAATTTTTGTTTTTTAAAAGCCCTTAAAGGTGCTTTTTTCATTTTGTGTTTTTAAAAAGTGCTTAATTTTCCCTTTTTCAAAATGAGATTTTTCTTTTACTATGTTGATTTTCGCTTCGAATTATGCAAAAAGACACAGTTAACAGTGTTTTATTCAACGTTTTCACAATTAACTCAACCCCAATCTATTTCAGTCCGTAGCGTATGAAAACGCCATTCGTTTTACATGATTCAAAATTTCATGATTTTTGACNTTTTTATTGGACATGACGGTTAAAACAAGATAAAACCGTTAATTGTCAAAAACTTTCCAACCCTGTCTTATTGTGATATTTTTTTAAAGTGCTAAAAAATATTTTTTGAGTGCTTGAAAAGTGCTTAAAAGGTGCTTATTTTTTGTTAAATGATTTGGCTACGCGCTCTGGTAAAGTTGACTACATCGCTTAATCAGCAGATGTAGGTTGCATACTGCCGTTTTAGATAATTTTCATATGTTCCGAAATTGAAAAAAATAACGTCTTTCCCATCAACAATTTAGTGTTGACATCAGCAGTTTTAACAGTTAAGTGTTGAAATTACACATAAAAGTAAACAACTCGCTCGGTTGTTTTATACACTATCAATCATTTTTACAAAATATAAATCGTAATTAAAATTTTACAATTTAAATATATTTCTTGGGGCCTGACTGGTATGGCTCTGGGCCCATGTGCGAGTGGTCGTGAGTCCGATCCCCGCCGGCCGAAGACTCCCCCGTGTACAAAATGATGCCTGGTAAACGTTAAATGTTACTGGATCGATGTTGCTGGATCGTATATTGATCGTGCTCTCGATTACGATCACCGGATGGGTGGATATTGTGTGAACGTGTCCTCCCTGTAAAACGGGATGTGACGTATGTATGTTGTCTACGAATCATTCTCCTGGATATTTTCCTGACCGTCGCCATTAGTCCATTGTGCAGCCCTAGTGTGACGTAAATAAAGAGAAAGTTTTTTATTTTCAGCAGTTTTTAGTTTCAGAAACAAAAGAAAAGGGGGGTTGCATTCCCTTAAACAAAGACAGGTATTGTTGTTAAAAAAAAAAAATTTTAATTTACAATGCATATACAGTCAAACCCAGCTATAGTGAACACGGTTTATAGTGAACTCCCGGATATAGTGAACGAAATATTCGGTCCCGTGCCTTGCTATACACGCATAATGTTAATTTGTGTGGATCTAGTGAACCAAAAAAGTGAGGAAGTTGGATATAATGAACTTTTTTCTGTCTTCGACTGATTTTTTTTCTTCATTTTTTTTTTGTAATAATTTTGAAATTTCTACTTCAAAATAAAAACATACACCGATTTTTAAAACCATCTATAGAGGGGAATGTAGTGATAAGCATTTTTTCTTGTTTGCTTCTTTTATCTCACTTTCCCATCCCTAAACAAACCAAGCAGATGTTTCCAACCCAGTCAGGTGATGCACCTGTAAGGTGTCAGTGGGATCAATATGCATTTTCTATCAGATGGAATGAGTAATTATTCATTATTGGTCAAAGGGTGGATAATGTGTTGATAAGGCCCTCATTTCAACTCCTTTTTGATCTCAGTTCAGTTAAAAAAAAAACCTGCAAGAAAGTGTCTCAAATTTAACTATGGCGTGCAGTAAACGTAAAACGTTCTTATTTTATGATAAAATGGGCATAATCAGAAAAATTGAAAATGGATGCAATCAAGCTGATATTTTCTTCAGGGAATATAAACTATCCAAATCTGCAGTTTGTAACGTATGGAAAAATAGGCAATTAATAATTTCTGCTCATGAAAAAAATTTAGATGGCAGAAACAAGTTGAGAAAAGCAGATCACAAGGATGTTGAAGAAGCATTACTGAAATGGTTCACCATTCGAAGAAGCCGCAATCTTCCAGTATCTGGATAAATGTCGATGAATTTGCAAAGTGATTTTATGAAACTACTGTTATGTGCTCGAATGGCAGGTTAGACAGGTTTGAAAAACGGAATAACAGAAAATCAGGAAAAATTATCTGAGAGTCGGGAAGTGTTTCCATATCTGATGCTAAGGATTGCTCATCAGCTAAAGATTACTAATTTTTTATTTGTACGCAAGACGAAGAGTAATGAAAAATAACAAATTTTTCGCTACTACATAATATTTTTCAGTCATTTATTTGAATAATCCGTAATAAAAGGGAGGAGTTAGGGAACCATTAGTTAAATTGCCTGCGTAACGGATATAGTGAACACCCGGTTATAGTGAACCAAAATTTCGGTCCCTTGAAGGTTCACTACAGCGGGGTTTGACTGTATTTGCAATAATTTCTATCCAAAATATAGCTTATTTATAATGATTTTATTACATACTCTAACAGCAACTCATATCTGGTTAACATTTGGGCAAAATTATTTATTAGTTCCACTATTCCTGAAATATAAAATTTAAAAAGAAAATCAAATTAATAAACTTAAATAGTATTCGAGTTTGATGGGTAACTGATAGGAAAAGAAAAGTTAGTAGAAATACTATTGAACATATTGACGTAGTAACAAAACAAAGAAAATGTCAATAAAAATTTTACTATAAAAAAAGCTATTACGCCTATATTTTACAATTATTCATTGAGTTTTTGAACACTTTAATTTTAAGTTTTTTATTACTTTTTTATTAACTCGGGTTCGTGCTAATAGCGAGGGTATCTTGTAATCTAAATTTTAACCTCAATCCGACTAGCTAGAGTGATCAAATTTTAAACTGCTGTGCCTATGGACAATTATCGCTTGAAGTAAAATATTAATTTCATTAGATAAAATTACATCCGTATAATTACATGTATTTCATGAGATAAAATTATACATGCGTGTTATTTTTCAGTAACACGTGAGGAACTTAAGTTTTTACTTTAAACAAGTAAAGATTCATGAATATTAAAAAAAATTTTTTAATTTTTTGATATTTTTACCGGTATTGTAGAAACGTATGAAACTTAACGCCTCATCTCATATCGACTTGCATTAGCTTGACTATTGGAAAAAGCTTACTTCTAATCTTAGATAAGAGACCGTCATCTTCTATTTGCAAAGTGTTTTTCTTTTATTCATCCACTGGCCGGCATTTGATTTATGTTTTGGTGTCAATGTCTAGAAATATATAATAGATATTTTTTTATTTATTTTTCTTTTCATTTTAAACGCAAAAAGTCACATTTTCAAAAATTTGTATACAGTGGCTCCCAAAAGTGTTCGTACATATGATTTTCAATGAAATAGGGCTTTACCCATTGGTTAAAATAAATATTTCAGAATGTGTATTTAATAGTACGATCTATAACTTACTTATTTTTAAAAAAACCGTATGAAATATTTTATAGACATTAAAAATCTTATTTCTAAAAATCAATAATTAAAAATAACAAAAACATATACTCACAAAAGTTATCGTACATTTTTAAAAATTTCTACATATTCGTAAATATGGTAATTTTGTATTTAATTACTATTTAATAGGGTATCTTTTAACCTTTACAACAGCTTTTAAACGACTGGGAAAGATTTCACTAGCTATTTTTGTAATTTCTGCATCAAGTTTTCTACGGGCAGAACGTCTATTTTATTCCAGCTGCTCTGAGAATTCGTCAAGTGAAATTGTAGAACAAAAAGTTTAAAAGTTTAAATTTTGCAGAAACTTTTACTGCACTCGAACATGGATTTTCACCAATTTTCGAACTATAAATAAATCTCTGCATTTTGTTAATTTTGCCGTGGGACTTCTCGTACCTCGTTTTTGATACGATTTTTCTTTTTTAAGGAGCTTAACCAG